GTATTATTCGTAGTAGGTATTATTATTGTTAGTAGTAGTACCAGTCGTCGTAGCACTAGTAGTATTGGTAGTAGTAGTCGTGGTACTACTAGCAGTCGTAGTAGGAGTAGTAGTAGTAGTAGTAGTAGTAGTAGTAGTAGTAGTAGTAGTGGTAGTAGTAGTAGTAGTAGTCGTAGTCGTACTAGTAGTACTAGTAGTACTAGCAGTACTAGTAGTACTAGTAGTACTAGTAGTACTAGTAGTACTAGTAGTACTAGTAGTACTAGTAGTACTAGTAGTACTAGTAGTACTAGTAGTACTAGTAGTACTAGTAGTACTAGTAGTACTAGTAGTACTAGTGGTACTAGTAGTACTAGTAGTAGTCGTGGTAGTAGTACTAGTAGTACTCGCTGTCGTAGTGGTAGTACTAGTAGCAGTAGTAGTAGTAGTAGTAGTAGTAGTAGTAGTAGTAGTAGTAGTAGTAGTAGTAGTAGTAGTAGTAGTAGTAGTAATAACAGTAGTAGTAGTAGTAGTAGTAGTAGTAGTAGTAGTAGTAGTCGTCGTTGTAGTAGTAGTAGTCGTAGTAGTGGTCGTGGTAGCAGTAGTAGTAGCCGTACTAGCAGTCGTAGCAGTAGTACTAGCAGTCGTATTAGTAGAAGTCGTAGTAATACTCCTCCTCGAAACAGCAGTAGTGGTAGTAGTAGCAATAGAAGTCCTTACTTCTTGCGCAAGTCGCTCGGAAGCAGCAAGCGCGACGGCCTTGGAGCATGCTCTTTGCTTGTCAGGCAGAAAAGTGTGCCTTTAGAGCGGCTGCAGAGGGGGCTTGAAGGAGGCTTCAGAGGCTGTCCAAAGCAGAGTTCCTGTTTTCGTTTGCGTCCAAAGACAGCTGCGAAGCGCAACATCAGGAGCTGCTTCTTTTTGTCTTCGGAACTTTCTCTGTTCGTCCTATGCTTCTTCGCTTTGCACCCTTCCAAAGCGATTTCGTGACCATGTCCTTATTTCCTGTTGGAAAACGCGTTTCTGTTGCATCTCCTCTAGACCATACAATGAATCTTGCATGTGTTTTCTTTGCTTTCTGCTACCCTGCGGCGCTTTCGTGTGACGTTTCTATTTCCTATTACCGCCAACGCGATTTCTGTTGCTTCTCCTTTTTTGGTTGTCTTGCAGAAGGCGTTTTGTTGAAGGTCTTCTGAACGTGCTTTCGGTGGCTTTTGTTTTGTCTTTACAAATTCCAGATCACGCGCAGAGTGGCGTGGCACAGTTCGATTTCTCGTATCAAACTTTGTTGCTGGCGAACCTTGTCTGCGTATCCAGACCGTCACTGCAGCTTTTTAAAATTTGACACGGCTTCCGAACTGGAACAGGAAAACACTTCTTGTCTGTCTTGGTGCATCTTTCGGCTCCGCTCCGCCTCGCCTCTCCGCCTTCGCGTTCTTGGCCCTGCATCTGCGCGAGGCCCATGCAATGTCCCCACTGGATCGCCGAGCTTGTTGGCTGGCAGGCTCGAGCTAGGACTGCCTTTGTCTGCGCTGTGCCTTGCTTGGCTACTGCTGGCTGGAAGGTGTCGCCGCGCGCCGTTTGGAGCGTTTCCTTGACCATGAATTGCGGGGCGAGCTGGTACTTCTGCACGGGGCGGAGGCGCGAGCCACAGACGCAGCCTTCTACTTGCGCCATCTCGTCCAACTGCCGTTGCTGCGAACGGGCCGGCATGGTCTGGTGGCAGCACTGCTTGCTTCTTGGCTGCATCACGAGAGGCCTTGCAGCTTTCCGTTAGCTTCCGCGTCTTTGCTGGGTCTTGCGCGCCAAGGTGGCCTTCCTGGTTCCTCCACTGGACATTACACCGCCGCCAGTCTTATACGCCCCCCTCCCACGCAGGCGAATCGCGGTCTGCTCCCCCCAGTGAACCCTCTGCCCCACGAGCTCCTGGACTTGTGGGCCGAGGCCTGCGTGGCCGCGTTTCATTCTCTCTGCAGATTTCACCGTCTGCGGTAGACAACTCCTTGCAGGTTGGCGCCGCCCGCTGTGCGAACACGGCGCTTCGCGGCCGCTTGGTGGAGCTTTGGCGACGCATCGCCTCGCTGCAGAACAGATCTGGCGCGCTGATGTGGGACCTAACAAAAAAACTGGAAACAATCATGAGCATAATAAAAAAGAAGCCGCACGACATTGTTTTTGAAAGGAATTAATGAAACAAAACAAAAAATAATGAAACAAAACGCATCCGAAAGCTTCGAAAAGTTGATGGAGAGAGCGGAGGCTTTGGACACTGGTGCGACGAGAATGTGCATAGGGGTGGCATTGTTTGCATGTTTTGATCCAGGTTGCTAATTTGCTTTCATTGCTTTTAATTGTAAGGCTTTCTCCTTCTTAGTGGCTTTTGGGCTTGCAGGTTTTCATTCAGTTTTATTCGCTTTCAACGCACAACCTGTGGTTTTTCGAGGGCGCAGGTCCCCGCGAGGGGGGGTCGGACAGTTGTAATTTTTGTTTTGTTTTCATTCACGAAGGTTTCGTTTGCTTTCGTTTCGTGCGATTGCGTGCGTTGAAGATGAAAAAAAAGCGGAGGTCCGATTGAGCTTGAATTCACTGCTCTCGAAAGCTCGAGGGGAGGGGCTGCACCCTGCTTTCTGTAAATTGCAAATTTTCCGCGTCTTTGAAGCCGCCTAAACCGTAAACCTTCAACTCCAAGCCAAAACCGTGCAAAGCGACAAATGCACAAAAAGAACGTGAACAGACGCCTTCTTCAACACAAAGGATCACAAAAGGAGATGCCACACGAAATCGCCTTAAGCGGCTTAGAAGCGAAGAAAATAAATGCCCACGAAATCGCCAAGCGTGTGGGCGTCTCTTTTCGTTTCCAAGAAGGCGTCACAGTCCCTCTTGACTTTTTGAAGAACGGGCGCTATGCATTCGAGCCTTCAAGGTTTGATGGTCATGAAGGATGCGCAGTGGGATGCTCTTTTAGTCAACCCGGATGTTTCGAGTGGAGGCCTGTTTGTAGCACTCGCCAGCCAATGCAGCACCATTCAGCTTTGGTGAGAGGAAGAAGGACTATGGGGAGCAGTGCTATGTGAATTCCGGGCTTTGCTCCTGCTGAAAGCCAGAACCTGCCAACTGGCCCTTTAGGCACAACAATCCGCTAAATTGAGTCAGCGAGGTCTCAGACATCGATGTTCGCTGATTAACTTGTCTTTCCCGCTGTTTTTTTGATAGTCTGGAACCGAGCAGCCGCAGCAACAAGGCCGGTTGATGCCAAAAGAAAGTCCTCTTCTGGCAACTAGCTCGGTTTTGGCTTCTTTCAAGACCATGGACCCAGTTGCCTTCGAACTTCGTTTGAGCGCAACTGTGAAAGATTGGAATCCAAGCGCAGTGGGTTGGGCGGAGGAAGCGGAGAGGCGAGACATCTTGCGTGTGGGCAAAAAAAAAGGTTGGAAGAGGCTTGAAAGAAGTGGGTTTTTACAGGTTTTGTTGGCTTTAGTCGGGCTTCAACGGGGCGTACGGGGTCCAGGTCACCACGCAATACCGAGGGCCACATGCTTGGACGGAAACCGGGCGTTTGTTAGCCGACTGCTCTGACGTCATGCACAAACTGAAAGACTTGCTCACTCTTCAATTCATTTTTGGACAAACGCTTGTAAAAATGGTTATCATCCTCGTCACCCTCCATGACGGTTCTTGTTGTTGAACATTGCATGCAAAAGGCCAGCAGTCAACATCAGAAGAAGTTTGGGGCCAGATCTCCTTTCTGTAGATCTCATTTTCCTTCCGACTCGGGAACGAACAAATTCGAACATCATTCTCGGTCGCGTTTTGGTTGCAAGGGTTTGTTTAATATCCGTTGCTGCAGAGGTGCTCGTGTAATGAATCACTCACTGGACAAACTGGCCGTGTCACGTTGGAAATCAGGGTTTCCATGAGCGGAAGTGTTGGATTGCGTGGCTTCGACAAACGAATGTTTCTAATTTGAAACATGTCTGGGTTCGTCCGCAGCATCAAAAGCAGAGTGGCCCTGTAGTCAGCTTCATTAAGGACAAGATGGCACTTTGGGAGGCCAGGTGTGTCGATTCGCTTCTGGGCATACTCGTGCTGTTTCGGTTACGCCACATTGTATTCGCGATTCACACGCATGCTCATCGGTGCAGCATGCAACACAACCACGCTGCCAATCTCCGGGCAAATTCGTGTGTAGGCATGTGAGTGTAACTTTCGCGAGATGCGCTGAGACGACCAAGCATGCTATTGGGTGCGAACACAAGCCTATGCTCAACACCCTGTCCAAATGGAAAGTTACGTTGGCTCGTGCATATGACCAACAAGTTTATAGTGTTGACTCGAGCCGCCTGCTGGGCTGTAGCTCCCTTCCTTCGGAAGGGCCCGATTACGTAGGCTGTGCCACAGTAAAGTGCGATCGTAACCGGGCATGTACTTGGCTTCGATTGGTAGCTGGTATGCGCTACCGCTGATTCAGCAAGCAACATCTTCAAGCTGAAAGAGGACCATGCCTGTCAAAATGCTGGCAGGTTGTTGGCGGCGCCGGGCATGGAGGCGTCTTGGTCCGGTCGGGCCCAGCTCTTTCGGACGAGCTGTGTGAAACACGGCTGGCAACCGGTGCGGTGGTCAAGGAGATCGCTCGGTGTGTGCAGGTTTTGTTACAGAGTAGTCTGGATAAGAGTCACGTGCCAGGAGGTTGAGACGACAGATGGGCGCCTGTGTTACGAGCTTGTCCGTGGTGATGGTCCCGCCACCGGCTGGGTTTCTATGAAGCTGCGTGGGAGGGTGACTCGTCACGGCATAGTGGCATAGTCCCGAGCTGAAACGGAAAGATGACTCAACACTGAGTGTTTGCATTCCAATTGAATGTGCGGCAGCAAGCTTTTGCGGCTTAGATCTTCGAGACAAGGACCTTCTGGTGAAGGCTCACGAGGCAAACGAGGAGGAGTCAAACCGTGCTCAGCGCCGTGGCAGATTCTCAGAATGGGCATCGCAGAAGACGGAGGCACTAGTTTTGCATGACGTGCTGGGAGATGGTTTACTTGCAGATCTTCATCGTAGAAGGATGTGCTGAACAGGTCGCTGTGGTTGAGGAGGCTTCGACCGGAAGCGATGTTGAGATTGCAGCTGCAGGCACAAGTGAGTCACAGCCTCAGTTACGGAACGACAGCAGAGACGGCAGCTGCAGAGCTTTTATCCGATGGCCTAGGATTGTAGTCAAGGATGAACGTTTCGATTGCCATTTCTTCTGAGTCAGGAGCAGCCGCAGTCAAAATTCTGCGCCTGTGATCTGAGTCTCAGGTCCGGGGAGAGCACCCCTGCCATGGCTGGTGCAGAGAAGGAGCCAACGGAGGCGCTCCCAATCGGTCTGGAGTCCGGATGCCCGGCATGGCCCTGGCTGTACAGGACGAGCGCGAAGCCTTCCGCCAGTACACGGAGAAGTTTGGTGAATGCCGGGACGGCTCCAACCCAGGCGCGGGCCGAGCATCGCAGGGCGCAGCTGTTCTTGGAGCTACGAGTCGAGGAGAATTTGCATGAGTTGTGGAGTCATGTGCTGGGCTCTTGAGTTGGAGGCTACAGCCGGAAGGCGTTCCCATGGTTCACCGGAAAGCCGCCACAGGCGATTACCCCGACCTAGAGTGGACCTAGACCTAGACTTAGAGACTCTTGGGCGCAGACGAGTGTCGACTTTGCAGGGGGAGAAGCTGTCCGCAGAGTCGCTGCAAGCTGCGCTGAGCTACCGGCCGACCAAGAAACGGCTGGCGAAGGTGAACCTCACTGAGGCGAGAAGGGCATCTGAATCTAGGCATTCTGCACATCAGCGATGCTGTGCTGGGAATGTTAGTGAATGACTGTTAGTGACATTCGAGTTTCGGAGAAGAAGAGTCTGCAACATTTGAAGATATCTGCAGTCTATTGACAGGTGGATTCCGATCGGGAAGAAATTCCCCTCTGCACCCGTTGCTCCTTGCCCGTGGGCGAGTTTGCTTACCAGGGTCGCGAGGGCAAGGATACCTGCGTTCACACCGAGTGCATGGCACAGGCAGATGGGAATGCGGCAGTGTGTTGGTGGTGAGCCAGCATGGGAGAAACTTCTGAAGAAGCCTTCTTTGCCGAAAGTTGCCACAGGTTCTCATGAAGGAAGCCCAGCGCGAGGAGGAGCATCGCACGACGCGGGAGAACAACAAGAAGCTGAAAAACCGCAGGGTCACTTTGCCTCCGTGTTAGTGATAATGGAGTCACCAAAGTCTGGCGTGACGCAGTCCTGGCGGCAGTGTAAAGTCCGACTGCCTAGTCAAGAAAGTGGGTTTACTTTGTTTCACACTTTGTTTCGTCTGAGCCTCTTTCGAGTGCAGTGGAATCGGGACATATATTTCAGAAAGAAACCATGGCACGAAAGGAACACAACATCGGCTGGCGGATGGACAGCGTTCCGACCAATGCAAGTCTGGCCGAGCGCATGGGCTGCCACCCAGCTCCGCAGGGGCTTTGCTGCCTGGTGCCCCCAAATTCCTGTAAGCAAGATGCCGACAGTATGTTTTACAAGATCCTCGGGTTCATGTGAGGTACTGGATGAGGCTTCGAAGACCGTTCGTGTTGCCGCGACGTCGCGCGGTTTGCACATGAATGCAAGTCGGGTTGCGTATGATCTACCGGTGCGTGGTCAGGTTCAGGGATTGTTCATTGTTTGGACGCAATTAGGATTGAAGAGGCAATTATGCGCGGGATGTTGTCTGGAGATGTTGGTTGGGTGTGAAGAGAGAGGGTAGGAGTAGCAAGTAGCAACTGCTAGCAAAGGCTGAGATGTCAAATTCTTCCAGGTTCGCGAAAACAAAGCGAGGGTTGGTGACTGCACGACTGGCATGTGCTATGTCATGTTCAATCTGGGACTTAGGCTCGAGCCATCGGCCTCGGTGAACCTGGAGTACCTCCTGCTGGCCCTGAAGGCAAGCTTAGAGTCTAACTTCATGCCTATCCTTCGTCGTATTGGCGGGCACGCACATATGTATACCCCCGGGACTGGTGCATATGTATGTATGCCTGTACGTACGTATATGCATATGTAGATGTGCTGTATATGAACATGTAACAATGTATAGGTATATGTGTGTGTATATAGGTATATGTATATGTATATGTACGTGTAGATCTTTGTGTACATGTACATATCTGTAAACAAATAGGTGTGCATGCCTGCATGCATGGATGTTATATGTATGTTCAGACCTATATGTACACATGATGCAAATACCCCAGCTTTCATGCTCATGTGTTGCATGGATATCTCGACGGCTTCCGCCTTTGCCAGGTGAGGAAGTCCGCCTCGCGAGAGCCCCTCTTTTCCCTGGATCCGATTGACCCGAAGAACTTGGAGAACTCACCGCAGAAGAAGGCAGCAGAGTGCCTCCTCTCCTTGGTGTGATCGTAGAATATCTTCCTTCGCGAATGCCAATCGCCAAGTCGGCAGTGTTCCTTTGCCAGCGGCTGCCAATGCGTTTGCTTACCTTCTTCGGGTCCGTGTCTCACTCCACTCAATGATCAACTGACACAGTATCACACTTGTTTGGATACGTTGGTGCCGCGTGTGTTCGCACAGTCACCCCTGTCTTGCTACGACTACAACAGCCATTAAAAGATGACAGACAGACACAGATACACAGATAGATTGATGGACCGAAGGTCTTCGAGCCGTCCTGGCTGGCTGGAACAAGCGCCGGCGATGTCATGTTCCAGGCCGACTACTTCTTGAAGGCGGGCCGGGTCGGGAGAAGACGAGGGCAGTGGTGGATGTCAAACACTTTCAACACAACGCGCTCAAGACGCAAAGACTGGCGCTGAAAGACCACCGGACTTTCTATTGCCAGGAGCTGGCTCTGGGCGAGTACACCATGCCTGTGCTTGGCATGCTCAGTGTGTTTGACTGGTCCGAGATGGGCGACAAGGAGAAGACCTGGTCTGGCGGCGTCCCCAGTGCCGTGCCGCAATGCACGTCTGTATGATTTGGGACTAAGGCCGCGAGTGGTTCGTGGTGAAGAAGGCTGAGGTCCGCATGGCCGAAGATCAGACTCTCATCCCGCATGTTCGCATGGGCGTGGAGGCCAGGAACCTTGGGCTTCCCTTCAGTTTTTCCGACATGCGGCTCATGCGTGTGCAACGCGATGATACGTCTTGGATTGTGCCCTGTAGGCTCGCGAGCAGATTGTGACCCCGAAGGGCCTGGAGGAGATGCAAGTTACTGGTTCACTGGAACGGTTCGTTGATACTGCAGAGTACGGACCTTGCGAACAGTGGATGGCCTTCAAATGGTCTCCTGCCGGTCAGCTGTTTCAGGATGCTCCCGTGACCGTGCCCACCCATCCGCTCAAGAAGTTTGCGGAGGTGTTCTTGCATTGCAGGGCTATTTCTTGTTGAGGGGAAGCAGGGGAAAACGTACTGACACACAGCCAAATGCTGCATGGACAGACTTGTAAATCTGCAACCCTGAAGGCCTTCACCCGCAACTTCGATCTGATTGCAGAGCGAAAGAGCGTTATCTTCCATCTTCGTGAGCTGGCCAAGGCAAGACCTTGACATGCGGTGAGGGGGTCATCGCTACATACGTTGATAAGTTGCACACTTTTTAGGCGTCCGTCATGGCCAAGTACCTCGTCGACTCGAAGGCTCGCATCGACCCATCGTGGTACCGACTGGCGGACGAGATCGTCAAGGGTGCCCCACCAGAGCCGCACATGGAGATCCCACAGCTGTGGAACATGCGCGGAAACTCCCGCATCAAACTCAAGAACGGACGCCTCATCGATATGGTCACAGGCTCCCGACAGCCCTGGGGTTTGAACAGCACGGACTCGCAACAGTTTGGCGCCGTCCACCGAGCGTGCTGGAGCCTATCAGGTGGCCAGAGCAAGCTGCAGGCAATCTACGGCGGTGTGGAGAGCCTTCGCGGCACTGAGCGACTGTGAGACTGGCCACTGGCTGCGTGCCTTCAGAGCACAGAGCAGCTCAGGTTCGGACTGGACCGTTTCGAGCTTGCTCAGCGACATGCACTGCAGGGCCAGCCGCAGCTTTGTTAGCACATAAGCAAATGACCAGTTGCATGCCGGAGAAAATCGCACGTGCTGCTACTCGCTCGGTGAAGTAACAAGGACTGGAATGCAGCTGGGCCAGTCAGGACAGGTTTGCTCGTAATGTGGGCCGGAAGAATCGTGCAGAGTAGCTGTTCTTGCCTCCATGCTACTCATGTGTCATGGCGGACTGACTCTACTGTCTTTTTGTCGATTGACTCTGGCGTCGCAACTCCAGCAGTTCAGCGAGTCTTGTCGGTCAGGACGGCCGATGTTCATGCCACAGCGGTTCCAGCTGGGCCAGCGCGAAATGCCACAAGGCTTGGTCGGCTTTTGACAAGTGGGTCCCCTGGAGACACATAGGAGGACGTGCGAGCTGGTTCAAGGAACCAACCGGTGTCCGGTTTGTCTTTCGTGAGCGTCTGGTTGGCCTTCAGGTGTGGATCTCAATTTGGACAAGTTCTCGCTCTCCACCGAGGACCTGCAAGGGTGCACAGCAAGGGAGGTTGGAAGACGCCTATGGAATGTGCCTGAGCCTGAGCCTCTTTGGCACTTCTTAGGAGCGGTTCCGCGGGAGACTCCCGCCCTGCAGCGGCGATGCCAAGTCGCTGGAGGGTCGCACCACGTTGGGCAAGGCCTTGCAGTGCCCTTGACGCTTGCGACACCTGTGACTCGGGTGCAGGGCAGGGCGGGGGAAGTCACAGCTGGGAGGCTTTCCTGAGCAGCCTGCGTCGGAAGTCATGGAGCCTCGGCTTTGTCATCCACGAGCGTTACAGTGAATCTCTGATAAACGGCCCTCATCTCTGAGGACCGGAATGAAGACGGACGACCAGAAGCTCTTGTTGGACATCTTTGATGTTTCCCAGTGCGATCGCACGGAGGAGGGCGACGCTTTCACGCCCCCGGACCCGAATCTGGAGTACATCGTGAAAGTTCGAAGCCTCGTGGGGGAGGAGCGGGTCGTTTCAGTTGTGCCTGTGGTGAAGATCTGTGTTAGACAGGTTTCCTGGATTTGAATCTATGAGCCTGACCTCGTTTCACAGGAGCGTGGCATGCGCGATCGGCGAAGGGTTCGCTTCGCCGACAAGAACTTCGTGATGGCCGCCTGGACTGTTAGAAGCATTTGACACGGCTAAGAACAGCGCGAGCAATGACGAGCGTCCAAGGCAAATCCCGGGAACGAGTTCCCAAGATCATGGACTTCCCGCTTTCAGGTGGAGAATGAGGGGTCCGGTCCCGAGTTGTGTGTGTCCGCGAGTTCGGTCGGATGTGTACGCAGGCATGTCACAGCGACGCCACGTTGCAATTGTTTCGAGGCGCATCTCATACACCGCTCCCACGAAGTTTGGCTTGGTCAAGTTGGATGTCGACGAGAATTTCAAGCACAGCTTGCTCGAGGACGAGCTTGGTCAAAGCGAGCCCCACACGCTTAGACAGCCAACTGTTGCACCTCAAAACTTCTCTGAACTGCTTCAGGACGTGATTCCCAAAGCAGTGCCTGAGTATCATGGCTGGAGTGGGTGCACCTGTTCCGTTTCAGCTCAGCAGCACATACACTCAGGTTTGATCAGGTCACCGAAGACGGAGTCGCTTTCCGCATCTACAAACTTGGCAGCCTGGAGGCAGCGCATTGTTGCGAGTTCAGGAAAGGTTCACTGATTCGTCGGCAGGTTCGCACCATCCAAGAGGTCGAGGAACCTGAGAGGGTTCATGCACTGAGCTTAGCTGAGCTGTTGGGCGAGTCTGCAGAGTAGACTCTCCCTGCCTGGAGGAGGTTCTCGAACACTTGCAGGGCTTGGGACATGTCGGCCAGCTTAAGTGCTTGTCAGGTGGTCTTCTCCTCCCGCGCGGTGTCCTGGGAGACGAAGGGATCCAAGCCGCAGGCTCTCCATCCCCTGGCTTCTCAAGAGTTCCTTTTTCGAGTTCCCGTGCGTGAGGACGTGCTCGGCAAGGAGAAGCTGAGCCGGTGCCGAGTCTACGTGGAGGCCATGGAGCACGAGGTCCAACGGCCGGCTGAGGAATTCATTCTTGATTTCGTCGGGTTGGCACACACTTCAGGCGCATGCATTGGGCCTGGCAGTTCAGAGTCCACGCCGACGCGACGAAGTTACGCGTCTACTGTGTACATGTATACAAGTTACATGTATGACACAAGGAGCAGCAGGTCTTATAAGCAATGACGGAGCTCACTGCACAGTGCATCAGGCCTGCAACAATTACTACATCGTACTGGAGACCATCGACAAGACCATGGTCGTGAGTGAGCGTGCGTCCGATGGATCTTTGCTGCTTGGCGACAGGGGTCCCGATTGTGGTTCAAACATGTCGGATACCTCATACTTCCGCACCGTTCAGCACACGTTCGGCTGTGAAGCGTGTTCCGCCAGGTGCTGGCTGCAGAACCCTCACAACCTTGAGGATCGCAACTCTTTGGCCAAGCTGCTCTTCACTGCAGACTGCAAGGCCCGGCCCCCGCCACAGATCGCCACCGTGAAAGATCGTTTTGCCAGCTTATTGGCTTACTGCACTTCAGGAGGGCCTGCGCATGAGCGACGTGAGACAGCACTTTGAGGCACTCGGAAGGTTGAAATTTCAGTATTGTCTTCCCTTGGGCATACTGACGCTGAGCTCCCGAAGGTCCCAACTCGCGCAGACAGATTCACTGCCAAAGCCCTTCAGTCCCAACCTTCGTCAACGAGTAATGAGTAGTCAGCTGCTTGTGTGACATGCGGGGTGACTGTCGTCAGTCTAGCCACCGATGGAAAAAGCTAGACATGGGATCTTCGGTTGATTGCTGGCTCTCACGCGACGATGAGTCCCGCACGTGTCGTGGCGTGGCGCAGTGTAGACTGGGCTCTCTTTGTGGTCTGCACGTGTTCTTTCATGAACCGATGCATATTCACAGGCGCAGCCGCGTGACACAGACGGTGAACATCGCAAGCGCTATGCCAAGGTGCCTCTCTTGAGTGCATGGACCAGTCTGAGCTGACGAGAGTCCTTGACCTGCCCAGTCCTTTTCTGATACAGTACTGAAGACATGGCAATGGCGTACCTTGCGTCAACGCCTGCAGCCTGTACAACCCCGACAACACTTATTGAGGGTGATAAAGCTGTGCACATCCTGGCTGCGCTTGCTGTTCACGGCCCTGAACTTGCCCGGTCCTGCAGGCGCTCTACGTTTTCACCACGGGTCGGAGCTTGAAGGGCAAATGGGGAGGCACAGTGCTGGGTCCCTCAGATGCCGTGAGGTTGATTTCAAAGGCAAGTTGGAAGGGTGCAGGGTGGAACCGCAGAAGGCGTGTAAGTTCGATTCGATTATCAGCTCAGCGACTTTCATTCCACTTGGCTTTGGTCCAGAAGCAGGCAGCGCACGCCGCTACACGGCGCCGCCGATGCGTGGCCTGGGCGTGCAGGCAGGGTTCCGAACTATGAATCTCGGGAAACCGAAGTAGGGGGCCGTACCCTTTACAGACGTTCATCAGTTAAGGGCATGAGACGACATTGTGGCAGAGTCATGCTTATTTCAAATTGCAACTTGCACTTCGCCTCGCTCAGGCGCTCGGTCGCAGCTCAGAGTTCATGAACGCGGCTTGGCATGTCATGCGCTTTAGACGCTGTCTCAGAGCATCCCATTGCAGAGCTCAGAGCTCAGAGCATCTCAGGTGATGTGGCTTGCCAGGAACTCTGGGCTCCGGGGTCTCTAAGGCCGAGACCTTCCCCACGTAGCAGGTGCCTCGACACTAGCGTCGTAGCAGACCTCCTGCTTTGTTAGGAAGACTATAGGGTGCAATCTTTCGCACGGCCAATCTTGCCGAAGGAATTTCCCACTGGGTTGCAAGATAGCGGATACGAGATTACTGCAGACAGACTCTTTGGGCGGATGGCCTTCATCAGCACTATTCAGCACTCAGACAACACATGTCCAATGCATGCAACCCAACGTGAGGATCACGATTGGCCTGTCTCTTCTTCAGGGTATGATCTGCGCTCCTAGCTGCGCAGCTGAGATTGACATCTTCGAAAATTGCTCGAGCCCGCTCAAGCCCACGGTTGCGCTGCCATTGCTGCCCTGGATCAGCCAAAGAGCAACCGCATATTTCGGTTGCAATCTGACGGCACGTTTGAGACTTGGCCAGAGACTTGCCAGAGTCACAGCGAGTATGTCATTGACACGGGGAAGTGCTGGAAGCATTCTGATGCTGGCAAGTTCACTCTTCCGTGTGACTCGACAACAGGTTAGTTCGCACATGCTTGGGCAAAATGTGTTTCGGGGACTGCAGTGCTTCTGGCTCCCTGTATGTCTACGAGACAGTGAGTTGGCATGCAGCTGTGACGACTATTGCTGCTTCGAAGCCGGCTTGTGCTTGGGTCAGTTTATACCTGATTTGCTTGTTCCAATCAGTATTGCATAGTTCGGCCCTTTACCATCTGAGTCATTCACTGTTTTATGCAACCGAGCGTCAACCCTAATTAATGGCTTTGCGGTGCAGTCACCCGCCTGCCTCTCGAAATGATGGGCTCTTCGAGCATCGGCGTGATGTCCTGGGCCCAAGGCAGGAATGGCACACGATTACCCACGAGATTCTGCATAGCAGGAAGGGGCCCAGCCAGCCCTTCGCCTCGTCTGAGATTTGGTGTCAGGGGCGAGTTTAGGATAGGAGGCCCCAATGCAAGGAGCATCCGGCCACGTTTGCGGCCGCAGCACGAGACGGCGGGCGACTGTGCAGGGCCTCTGGCGGCTGCCCGGCAGAATTCGACTCCGTCAGTTGTTCTCACAGCTGGAAAACCCTTGTGCAAGTCTTTTGTTATGCCTGCGCCCTGCACCGAGACACAGGTAAGTTCTTGTCCTCCAGAAAATTCTGGAAAGGAGATGGATCAAACAGGGCTTCAAAATTAGGAACCAACCGAGATGTTAAGCCAATCTCGGCCTAATGCCTCGAGATTCCTCAAAGACGACTTTGCGGATGCGGAAGCCGAGTAGGAGTGCTTCGAACAACTTTGGACATGTTAGAGCATCTGCAAAGCCTCGCAGCTCATGTTAGGCCGCCGCGTCCGTGTCCTGGGCCAGCCCACACCTCTGCAAGAGGAGCTTTCAGCAGTTTGTTGAGGGGTGACTCTTGCAAAGTCGCGACCAGGAGTGGTCGGAGGCGACGGAGCACTCGTAGAACTCTCGCACGACTGGCATGGAGCGAGGCCGCCAACTATGGCTATGGTTGCAGAACTCCGAGAGGCATCTGCATGGAGTCAACTCGGACATATGCTGAGCCGTTTTGCAGGCAACAGAGCAGAAGATCAAATCCGTGGCGCAGCAAAAGATCGAGTAACTTGGATTGGTGACCTCTTGCAGGCAACCCTGAATTCGGATTCAGTCTTGAAATTAGGTCCTGGCTTGATGCGGACCCAGAGGTCCCTCAAGTTTCGACTTTGGCTGAGCGGATCTCAGAAGCCGTGGCAGACCTCGAGGCCGACATTCGCCATGACTAATTCCAGCGAAATCTTCCTCGCTCGTGCAGGAAGGCCTCATTGAGCGCTCGCTGGAGGTCCGCATCCTTTTGCTGGCCGCCTTCTGCGCAGAGCATGTTCTGCTGTTGGGCCCGCCTGGTACGGCAAAGAGCTTGTTGGCGAGGCGGCTTACAAGGTTTGTTGGCACGGAGGCGGTGTTCTTTGCTCCTTATCCGCAGCTAAGCGATATATTTGCTTGAACCTCTTAAGTCTTTCAACTCACAGTAGTTCGTTTCCTCCTCCCGCCCTGATACCTGGAGACCTCAGACTTCAGCTCCACAGGAGCGGCTGCTGACACGCTTCTCGGTTCCCGAGGAGCTCTTCGGTCCACTCTCTTTGAAAAGCTTGGAAAGGGACGAGTACGTGAGGAAGACCGCAAAGTACCTGCCAGAGGCCTCAGTGGCTTTTGTGGACGAGATCTTCAAGGCGAACTCGGCGATTCTCAACACGTTGCTCTCTCTGGTCAACGAACGAGTCTTCGACAACGGCCCGGAGCGCGTGGCGGTTCCTTTGCAATGCCTCGTCGCGGCCTCCAACGAAGCTCCAGAATCGGAGGAGCTCGAAGCCTTGTACGACCGGCTGCTGTTTCGTCTGCTGGTGGAGCCGGTGTCAGATGCCCGAGTGCCAGACTTGGTCGCAGCCACCTGCCTGAAGCCTCCGGGCACCGCGGACGCGGCCACCGCGGCGGCTGCGAGTCTTCGCTTTCCCGTCGGCCTGGAGGATGCGCAGCGCGCGCAGGAGCTCGCGGGCACGGTGAAGGTGGGTGAGAAAGTCGTTGAGGTTTTGGTGGACTGCCGGCGCTTCTTCGCAAAGCTGCAGCCACCCGTTCAGCTCTCGGACCGAAGACTTGGCCAATCCGTGCGCATGATGCAGGTGGCTGCCTGGACCTGCGGTCGAAGCGAAGTAGAGCTCTGCGACTGTGCTTTGCTTGGCCACGTCTTTTGGAGCAGCCCGGAGCACTGCGAGCTTTTTCAAACGTATCTGCGCGGCCGCTTGGCCAGAACTCGGCGCCGGCAGCTGACAGCCATCCTTGGCGGCCTGCTCGAGCGGGTTGAGTGGCCCGATGGCATCCTTAAATTCTTTTCGGTGCTGAAGCTGCAAGTTTTCTTTATGCGCTTTCTTGAGGTCTGGTGCCACCTCTGCCGAAGACCTCTTGCGAGAGCTGGAGGACTCGCCAAACTTCGGGTTGTTGAGTGGCTCAAAGCTTCTGAAGGGTAGGGGGTGCTCATTTCACGGGCGGTTTGGGCACAGGCAAAACAGAACACCGTGACTGTGACTGCCACTGCAGCCTGATGCTTTTAGGTGCCTGAAGTTTGGAAGACGAGTAGAGGCTGTGCGCGTCCAGCACGGCACAGGTTTCGCCCCCAAAGTTGATTAGAGACGGGCATGTGATAAACGGGACAATTGCAATGAGTGGGCTCCTATGCGCTTCAAGCCATGCGGCTTTCGCTAGCAGTCGGACACAAACGGACCTCGTACGTCAAGTGAGTTGGCTACACGGTCTTGAGTTTTGAGCCTAGCCCGAGGGGTGAGAATGATTGGATGTGTCTCTGAATTGAAACATTCGTGCAGCCTTGGGAGGGTTCGCAACAGCCACAGTTCAGCATCGCACCTGCGGTGCCGGGCAGAAAGGGCTGTATGTATCCGGGTGCATCATGCACAATGACAGCAATTCGAGGGACGACAAGCAAACCCACGACAGCAGCCTGACACCTTGAAGCAGCCAAGAGATCTATCAAGAGTGAGTAGCCAAGCTTGGCTTTGTGAGAACGTCTCTCCCGAAGCAGCGGTATGAACACGCTCTGCCGTGCAGTTTGCAGTTCAGGATGCCCGCAGTATGCAGTGATGCTGATTGTTGCAGTGTTTTTTGTCGAGGGCTTTGTAAGGTCTGCTGTGTAGATTCGACCCTCTCTTTCTGTGAAGGCATTCCGTCGGGCCATTACCCAAGAGATTTGCAGCTTTGAGAGGCTCGGAGATTTGCGATGGGCAAAGGAATCCGCAAAGTACGGCCACATAAAACACAAAACGCCTTTGGCAGAGGCAGCGCTGCCTCGCAAAGGCGCATCCATGGTTGGCACCCGAGGAGGCGAGACTCGGATGTTCTGGCTGGATTTCCACTTTCTTTGTCTCGCCCTTCTGCTGAGACTGCGGCGTGGGACGCTCTGCTTGTGTCAGCCTTGGAGGGCTTGAGGCAGGCCTCATGATTCTCATATCCGTCTGTCCAAGTAGCTGCAGTCGATCGAAATCCGGGCCGCTAGCGAGATTTCTCCAGGGCTCTACTCTATGATGTCGCCGCGCTTTCTGCGGCGGCCGAGCTGGGTGGAGATGTCCCTGTTGAGTGGTTGAGGCGCGCGCGGGAGAGCAGCATGAAGAATCCACGGAGCGCAGGGTTTGTTGCAAGACAGCAATCGTCGTACAGGCTCTGCCAGGGTCGTGGGCAGCGCTGGACAGGGAGTGGGGATGGCGACAGGCGCGAACAGTTTCAGTGTGTGGGTTGGGGAGGTTGGCCTTCTCTATGCGAAGTAATTCATAGAACCAGCGAAGATCGGCAGGGTTTTGCCAAGCCCGCACAGGGAAGATGATGACGACGTGGATGAGACCTTCACTGTGGGCAAGCACAAGGGCCGCCTTTTCAGCGAGGCGGGACAAGGTGGCTCTCCTTGTTGACGGAACCACGCCAGATGTCTTCGTGCGTAGGTGGCCGCGGAAGACGAGGATTACTGCAGAATGGCAAGGGACCTACAGCTGTAGATACCTCCTGAAGGAAGATATTCCGTGCGTGTCCAGGTCAGGCCACAGAACAGTAGGCGCAATCACATGACGAGCTGCGCACTTCCACGGCCGTTCTGTGAATAACGGGCGAGAGCCTAAAGGGTGGAGGGTGTTCGAAGCGCCTCACCGAGGTGCAGCGGAAAGTGTCGGAGGGCAGCTTCGGCGGAGAGTCCACTCTCGACAAGCAGCTTGCATCGCACGGATGGCACGTTCCGGGGTTCAAATTCCATCTCTGTTGCGTTGATCCCATGGTGCTCCGTGTGCCGAGGCAAGTTACTGCGTTTGTTGCCTACCTGAAGTTGCAGCGGCAAGTGTAGCAAAACATGCCAAGTGCGAAGAGAGAATCCTGCCGTCAGCTGACGACATGTTTGCGCTTGTGGCGAGCAAGTCTTTCTTTGGTGCTCCTGTCCGTTGTAGATGGAGCGTGTGGTGTGTCCGTCTAAGTCGTCAACCTATCCCTTGTCCCCTCCTGCAGCTACAATGTCCGAGTTGCCTGGCTCTGAAGCTTGTCCGCTTGCAACAGACTCTATGTCATCGTTTTGTTCTTCGTCATTGTGTCCAAGCAAGTTGCCAATTTGTCCCTGCATATCTCGAACTTCTCCTTAAAGCTCTCCCGGCTCATCACACGGCTACAGTTTTAAGCTCGAAAGTCAGGGCTGCAAGCCTCTGGCCAGAGCCGACGGCTGCCGACGTCTCCCAAGGGTCGTTTACCGTTTACCTGCATCGTTCCCGCAGCTGCTTTGGATTGTAGATGTCGCAATGTGAAGCTTCATGGGGCCCACAGTAGCACCGCACTGAACAGGGACGCCAGCCCAGGACGACAGGAAACTTTCCAATGCCGAAGTCTCAAGAGCGCTCGTTCTTTTTCCATGCAGTCGAGGGAGGCGGATGGATCCTTGAGCGTGGACTGGTCCTGGAGCTGCAGCTTGGAGGACAGCCTTGGGGTAGAGCAGAACTTGCCTGAAGCTTGTGACGGCTAGAGAATAGCTTGCAGGAGAAGCATGCAGAGCCATGTTGAAGAATGAAGAATGGTTGCTTTAGCTTCAGATGTATGCAGGATTTCCGCGAGTTTGACCCAGATGTTCAGGCCATGGGGCGGTGTTGTTGTCGCCTCTTAGAGGTTGCTGCGTCCGTGGTTTCTCATGGAGCATGCGAGAGAAAGCCCATGCACATATAGATCAGTGGCTTCTCGTCATGCGAGAAAAACACATAATATGCGCATAGGCATGTAGACGGTGTTGCGGCGAGAGCACCATGGATAAAGCAAGGCAGAGTTCAGTCAACGCATGCCGGCGTCCGTTCTTCCATAGCACGCGAATGCTTGTTTTTTGGCCAGATCGGCAGCCCTCGGTCGCTGGCTGCCTGTGATGTTCAGGGCATTTTGCCACGGGAGCCCCAGCTTGACTCATGTGAATGGCAGTGATAGCGTACAGGCGTACACCTCATTCGTGCTATTGGTTTCTAAGCTTGTGCCATTAATCAGGGCCGTCCTCGTCCACGTTGTCGTCGTCGTGATGCCGCTGCAGTCGTTTGTTCCGGTGGTGGTGTTGTTGGTGGTGGTGGTGGTGGTGCTGCTGCTGCTGTTGCTGCGTAGCAGTAGCAGTAGCAGTAGCAGTAGCAGTAGCAGTCGTAGTAGTAGTAGTAGTAGTAGTAGTAGTAGTAGCAGCAGCAGCAGCAGCCTGGTACCCGAAGCCGTAGTACTAGCAGTCGCAGTTGTCGTACATCACCAGGTACAGGGAAAATCTATGTCTGCTCGCGAATCCGCCAAAGGACACGCGGCAAAGACCAACACAACGAACTGCTTGGACTAGGCACAGAAGGAGAACAACCGGTTTTGTTTTCTAAATCCGAATACTGGATTGGAGCACTGGGCCCAAAATCTGAAGAACAGCATTTTTTGCTGGGATGGGCTTAAACCTTACGAGCACAAGCGAACATTGTCCTCCGATGTGACTTAAATTCCGGGCAAAACGAAGAACGCAAACAACGACAAACGACAACACGACAAGAGGCAGCAAGACAGCATTGTGTCCCTGCCTATTACGTTGGTGCAGGATCTCCGCTTTTTGTTGTTGTTCTTCAGTCTCGTGCAACCAAACTCTTCGGCATATCCCTGTGCTGTGTATGTACTGTATGTGTACACGTACAGTCAAACATGAGTTGTATGGGGTTACTTTGACGTTTCACCGCAGTTCTGGCTGTGGCCTAGAGCAGCGTTGACTGTTCCCAAATCGGAGTTTCAGAGCATCGCCCTGGGACACCTAGTAGTAGGATCCGTATTACAAAATTAGAAGGATGCTTGAGTGAAGGACCCTAAGCAGAAAATCACTCCACATGATGAAGTTGCAAGGAATTGACGTACAAGCCGCTCGAGGTGTTCCAGCTTCCAGGCCTTTGGGGTTTAGGGTGTAGGGTCGTTGTAGCTGCAGAGGTTGACGGTCCAAGTACTAGCAAAGACAAGCACCCTGCCACAGGCCTAGATCCGCGCATCGCCCAGCTCCGATATGACTTCATGGAGGCGTGTTTGCTTCAGCAGTAGCCGCCTTGATCCAGAAGCATCTCGGGTCCTGTGGAAGTTGACGGGGATTTGTGATTGATGGTCATTACAGGGGAAACAAGCTGACCACCCATGGCCTGGTCTTCCCATGTGGGACTATCGTCCCACAGCCTTTGCCAGCCCTGTACTCGGCTTGAGTCGCTAGGCACGGCGGCAGGATCTCATCCATGCCGCCAAAGAAACGCCCGAAGCCCGTGAAGTGCAGAAATGCACCGGCTCTGTGGTTGGGGAGCTCAGCTTGTGTGGCTTCTGGTTCCAAGGCGTCAGGTAATCATGGAGCTGGCCGAAGAGGCAGAACGTCGGGCTCTCAGGTTTGCTATTCTGTGGCATGTCCGTGCAGCTCTGGGACAGTTCGAATCTTCGTCTGCCAGGAGCTGAAAATTTCAAGGAGAAGGAGCGTGCCGTGGAACCCACGGAGCCGCCGAGGGTTGAGTCTGCGATGCTTTGGGCCTCGGAGGAATCGCGGTGTGTTGCGTCTTTGCTATCGGTGACATTCGCAGGAGGTTGCTCGCGCTGGGAAGGATGTGCATCAGCTGCTCCAGCCGCCGCAACCTCACAGGGAGGTTCACATCTATCGCCCTCAAACGTGTTGGGCCTTTTAGATCTGTCAGCCTGGTGCAGCGACCTCCGTTGTGCGCATTGCACACTATATCCGCATCTGCGTACCGTTATCCCTTTGCTGTATCCAGGTCTGTGTCTAAACGTTTTCTACACATGTCTGTGTAGGTCTTATGTCTGCATACGTGCTTTTCTATGTAGTTATCTGGATTCCTATGAGTCTACACGCCTCCATGTCTAGGTATTTGTCTCTGCATCAACATCCGTGGGCCTGCCTACGTGGTGTTTGTCCACCAACCCATGTATACCTCCTCCTAAGTGCCTGCTTCCATCTCCCCTCCAGCTCAATCTGTATTCGTCTATCCATACATCTATGCATCTGCAGACACACCAGATGCACTAACGATGTGTGCATAGACAAAGAAACAAGAGAGCTTGTTATGTGCTTGCCCCAGGGGGTGTTACGACACCCTTCCCGACAGTCCCGCCTGAACTCGTGGTTGCCTCCAAATGCCTCCAAGGCCTACAGTTCTTTCCCTTCGTTTTGTTGGTAGGTTTCCGGCGTTGCTTGCTTGTGTCCCCTCGTCGGCAAAGCGACTGTGCACTGTGCTGTGTCTTAGGAACTGGGCGGAGGGCGGACCTCCAGCCAGGGCCTCAGCGCCGCAAAACCGTGCTGCAGCGCGACCGCGCCACATGTGCTGTTCGCGGCATTGAGCTGGATCGCGGCCTGCCACGTGTTTCTGCGGCATGTGGCACTGTGCCAGGACCCGAGCCTGGCAGGTGCTCCTACAACGCCAGATGCCGAGAGCAAAGAGCAAGTAGGACAGAAGCCATTGTGGGAGAAGCTTGTTGGCAAAAAGCAAGATTAAGAAAATCGGCAGCAACCGCCTCTTCCATTCTTGGCCGAGCATAGTTACCCCAGTAGGGTGTGCTGCCACTGACTTGGTGCGATGCCAGCGCAACACGTGAAGCCTTCTGAGCGAGCTCATGAAGACACTTCTCCAGCAAGAATAGATGTGACAAGCAAGTCTCCAGTTGGAGACATATCAGTTGTCACACAGATAAGAACAGATACTACACTTGATCATAGCCAAAAGGCCGAGAAGGTATGCTCTAGGGTGCAGATCTCCAGATCTGGTGTGCAAGTGGCAATTGCATTGCATGCAACATATCGAATCGTTTGCAATTTGGGGGTTCCAAGAATGTCCGAGCAAGGTTCAGTTCTTTTGACCAACTTCCATTTGGAGTTCAGGGTGGAGAAGCTCTGGATTCAAGTCTTGAGTTGAAAACACGAGGCCAGGGTTGAAAAGGGTTGAAACTGAATTTGGCAACCGAGATGGTCTGATGGTTTGAGAAAGGGTCATTTTTGGGGTTCAGGCCAAGAAGGTCCGGAGCTGAGCGAGTCTGGAGGGAAACTAAGTCCGGTCCCGGGTTGGGTGAAGAGAGTTCGAGGTTTGGGGTTTGGGAAGAAAAAAGGTCCGCTGGCTAGAAGGTTTGGAATTTTGGGTTTGAAGGTTTGTTTGGAATTTGTGGTTTTGGGCAGGTCTGGGTTTAGGGTTTGGGGTTGCGATCGTCCGAGTTGGGCGAATTCGGTCCGGGCTTTGCATGGCTCCGCTTCAAGCCCCAACAAAGCTTTAATCCCGTAACCTCAGCAAAACCAAACCTTATCGCATTCAAGAACCCCAGACGGGCAACTAGGTTTCGGGGGCAGCATGGCTTTAAAGGACAAATGTCATGTCAGTTGGCAACAGCTCACAAGCAGTTGCCTTTCAACAAATTCTGCTATGGATGACTCCATCGGAGACTCCTAAGGCGTTGCAGGCCTCAGAGTGCAGTGAACTGCTCGACCCTATGAGAGCGAGCTGCTGAATCTCCGCCCAACACTAGCCAGGTAAGTTTATGCAGAACCTGCATTTTTCTTGCAAGCCATGATTTGGTTTTTGTAGGCTGTGTAAGCAGTCCGACGATTTTTGCAGGTTCTTTCTTGCAGTTCGATTTCTTTCCGTCTCTTCCTGAAAAGAAGATGGCTCAATAAACCAAGTCTTGGCCGCAACTTCCTGCTCACATCAGATTAAAGCGAGAACTGTGGGTTCTGGCTTTGACCAAGTGTGGCACTAGCAAGCTTTAAACCCGAAAAGCTCTAGTTCTTGCTACCAGCACAGCATCATCGCAACGACGGACTCTGCCTCACATGGTCTCTCT